CTAATAGAAACTCAAACGGATTCAATCTCCTTGCTATTATCTTTGATATCTTCAACAGGATGCAACTCACATTTTACATATAAAACCACTCCTCCCCTTCTCTTTAGTACTCTATCCCTATTAAGTAGTCTCTAACCCTGTATTTCAAAAGAAATTTGTCATCAAAATCATCTACATTTAACAGAGTTTGAGTTATTCCAATTATATCAAAATCCTCCATTCTTACCAGTTCCCTAAAATCATATTTTATTTCTTATACTTCTAACATTACAATAGTTACAATTAAGCCTATCCTTATAACTATTTATATATATTCATTTCCTATGCTAAACCTTTCTCTACCTCTTATTCTTTTTGCATACAGTTTATCCTGGCCCTCACCACTGTCTAGTCCTAGTTTAAAAACTTACCTTACAGCAGAGTTAGGCATAACAAGAAAACTCTTACCTTATTTAAATGTAAACCATCCATTCCAAAACTCATCCTTCCATACTAACCTAAACCAAACATTTAGTCCTAGTGACCTATCCATAACTTCTTCCCCACAATTAATTCTGACAAAACTGTGGCCCTCTTCTTTAAGTCTCTTTATCAACCCCTTGTACTTCTTAAGCTCCTCTGACCTACCTTTCCCTACATCATTAGCCCCCTACATGTACCACAAAAACTACATCTCTGCTAGTCCCCTCTAATATATCTCCTACACTGTCAGTTACCTGCTCCACCTGTGCCCCTCGATAGCATAATATGATTCTTTTCTCCCTATTTATTCCATTGAAGGGAAAGTCTGTCACAATTTATTCCCTGGACTATGCTATTATTTTATTTTGCAAGTTTATTATTATTTTTGCTAATGTCAATGTTTATATAATAAATGTTTTTAATCAGTATTTTTCTCACTGCGTGTAATTGTAACTTTTGTATTTCGTCAAGTTTGAGATTCTAAGGTAACTATGCCTGATGAAGGGCATCTGTCCAACATAAACTAGAACAGTTAATTTATTCTCATGACAACTTCTCCAAGAATGTCATCAGCTTTGTCCTCTTGAGTACCGAGGCCATTTCATAAGCTGTTTACACCAACAGGATAAGTTCTGTACCATTTTATTTTAATGTCTCAATTATTAACAAAATTATACCAACTTTCTAATAGCAAATTGCTCTAAGTTGTTCAATAAAGCATAAATACAATAGTATTGTTAAAACTGCAGTTTACACTATTGAATGTATACAAATACTAAAGCTACATGAACCTCAGCCGTGATTTAGGGCATATCGGGCAAATACTTATTTGCATTTAACTATTCTGAAACTAACATTAAAATAATCCAGTTTCATTGTGGTGTGTAGAAAGTTAAACCTATAATTTCAGACAGTTAGGACATTAATCAGTCAACAAGGTCAACAATTACATTAAGATTTCAAAGTCTCCAGCCATTACTAGTCTCAAAGTGGGTTCCTCGTCATCGAAAAAGTTTTTCTTCATTACCCATTCAAGCCATATTAAAGTTTTTCTTCATTATCCATTCAAGCCGTCTCCAGCCATTACTAGCTGATACCAATGTTTAATAAACCACAGAAAATAACGTGTTATCAGTACATGCTTTGAAAATTATTTCTACAATGCAATGGTTAAAAATGAGGAAAAATTTAAGTCTAATCCAATTATTTTTTTGCAAATTTTTCTAGCTTACACTTTTTAAAACATTTCTTTACAAAAACTTTCTGAATTAAAAAAGACAGTCAATTGTGAAGCAAATAATTATTTATTGGATTAGTCTAAAACAAATCACTTGGATAAATGACAATAAAAGAACAAATTTACATGTCTAAACTTTTTCTAGTTTATTTTGTATAATGTTTTGAGCAGATACCCTTCATCAGGCAGTAAAGACCGTGTTAAAATGGAAATAGGCTCAGAAATAATAGTTAAAAGGTAAGATAACACAAAGGTTTTAATTACACATGTTCAACGTGGAGCACAGTGACAAAATACTAACAAAAACATTGTTATAATTATTTGAAAGTAAATCTTTCATTTATACCATAAGAGGACTTGGTGTTGAGTTGGAAGATAAAATGGTGTTTAAGGCTTTCTTGTGTTAAATTGTTCTTGTGAAAAGTGTAACTAGATCCAATTATTGCCCGATGAAGGATGTCTGTTGAAAACGTAGCACAAAATAATTTTCAGATGCATCACAGTAATATATAAATTTTACAGGTAAAAAGATAGGGCATAGCAAACCTTTACAGGCCGATATATACAAAAGTACCATCTCTGCTACACCTCGATCTGCAAGTCGTGCTTGTTGGAAAAGTGTTCTTTGTTTTTCCATCTCTTGTTCCTGTACATTTTAAGTAAACCAAAAATAACCATTAAACATTTAACCCTCTGTGTACAGGTAGGGGTCAAAATGTGCAAGCCATGAACTTTTACAGAGTGACGTTCAACATGGTATTATGTATTTAATGTCAGAGTTATGAACAACTTATTTTACCCTATACTGCTGATTTAGCTACAGTTTGTGGTGGAGGAGAGTAAATATCAGACACGATATACATGGATACCAAAAGAAACTGTAGATATGCATTTCACAGGTTCTAGGCATTATGCAAATTCAGTATACAAAGTATATGATAAATGTGAGCATCACCTTGCATTCTGACTTTTCAAAGTCTGAGTTAAACTGACATCGTCAATTCACAGATGCATCTTGAGTATAAAAAATCAAACTTATACACTTTACTAAAAGCTGGACACATTTCATGAAGATACAAAATGAATGTATTAAATTTGGAATCATTGTCAAGATTTCCTTCTCCAATAAGAGGTTAGTCCAGTGGATTAAGTCTGTGCATATTAGTTAATACATATTTCAAAGTTTTATAGTTTGTGGCACTTTACACAGACTGTAAATGTCAAGATTTCCTTCTCCAATAAGAGGTTAGTCCAATGGACTAAGTCTGTGCATATTAGTTAATACATATTTCAAAGTTTTTATAGTTTGTGGCACTTTACACAGACTGTAAATGTTAAAGTGTTCAATGTTTACAAAGGTTTGATATTTCTTTGTAATTTTGATGTCATTCAAGAAAGACCCAAATATGCAATGCAAACATGTTCTTCATTATAGAATCTTTTCCTTTATAATTCTGAATGACTGGTAAATTTAACACGAGTAAGTTTCAACCATGGATTACTAGTGTTTATTTCTAACTCATTATAAAAAAAAATCTACTGGAGTTCAATTTTCATAACACTTTACTTTCTCTTTTAAACTCTTGAAGTTCCCAATTTATCTTTATGTAATGATATTTGAAATGTCTTTAATAATTAGCCTAATAATTTTCAGAATAGTATAAGGAAATTCAATAAAAAAACAATAAAGTTTCAAAAAAAGCAGTTAGTTAAAATTAAAAATGTCAAATATCTTTCCACAGTTAAAAAACAAAAGAAAACCCTAAAGATAATAAAAAAGCTTATACAAAAACATATATACAAAACTCATATTTACTTTAAACAAAAGCCATATAAAAAACAGAAAAAAACCTCTCTGAACTTTCCTGGTATTCAGAACGTTCATCAGATAACAGCAGTACCTACCATCATGAGACAGATTTTTTTCTATCCATACGAATGCAGCATGAAAGTACATAACTAATATAAAGAATCTACACACAAAAATCTCTATATCATCATATATCAACAGCAGCAATGAAGTACTATAAAAAATTAATCATGTTTAGTTCCACTGTATAATGGGATTTTACCATAAAAATGTTTTTATAATTGTCTCCTAAGAACAAAAGCCTGTACAGATGAGGCACTGCCTTCTCATATATAGCTTAATTATGAGCTTCTCATAGGAGCAAGTCCACGGTTTTTTTCTAGCTTAAGAAGGGTATCAACCATGCAGTTGCCCAGGGTTCTTCAACAGAACAAATTAGTTTTAAAATTAGTAGATAAAATAAAGTGAATCCAACCATATGACTTAGTGTAAGTTATTATCTGATGCTGTGAAACAGAAACTTACTATCAGCAAAAATAATCAGATATTTAGTAGCTTTAAGAAACAAATGGTATTATAAGAATGTGCAAACCAGAACAAATCTAAACACGAAAGAAACACTCACATGTATGGATGGTCCAGCCTCATCATCTCCTCCCTCTTCCTCATCTTCTTCTTCTGCTCCTCCACAACTCTAAAACAACATCAGTCAAGTTTGTTCATGTGATATGTAATATATTAGAACACAAAAACAAAATGGTACTAATGTTTTAGAAAGTAAGATAAAAAACATGAATTATAATATCATATCCTCCTAAAACACATAGACACGGATGCCTAACATTATATTCTGCTAAAGCACGTAGTTCACAATTGTATGCTATGAGAGCATAAATATGACAAATCTCTGTCTGAAATATAAACACTCAATGTTCCTACTAATAGACAAATACATTCAAATTTCAATTTATACTATTTATATTTATCATTAAAATAACACACCAGAGATGAGTCAAAGTATGTAATTTAAGATATCTACATTATCTATGGTTTAAACAAATAAACAGTATATACCTAAATAAATCTATTCAACTGGGTTATTGAAGTTCATTTTGTTGGAATTCCTTTCACAAAAGAATTTCAACCTATTAGCTTAGTAATTTCACTAAATTCTTCCATCTTTTTCTAGAGAACTAATCAAGCTTTAGAAAACTACATATATTAATTATATTTTTGAATAATAACATAGTTATTTCTTGTTTAAAATACAAGATGTGTACATTACCTTAGATATATCTATTGCAAAGGGTAAATCATAAACTACATTTTCTATGCTTCACTATATGCTACATTTGTTACACAAAAAATAATGAAAGAAAAACATGCTGTGTGTTACCTTCTATAACTTCAAAAATAATGAACATTTAAATACCAGTGTATAAGACACAGCACTTACTTCACCAAGTATGATAGCATATTGCATGTAAAGATCATCTTCTGTTATTGTTCCACTGTAACATAAAAGAAAGTCATTTTTTATGATGTTGTTAAAATTGTTAGTTTATTTTTCAGCCCTTTTTTTTCCACAGCTTCTAAATTGAGATAATTCCAAAACCTAATTCTAAATTTTTTCCAGAACATTTGAATGTATTTAAAGGTATTTTGTAGACACATAAAAACAGTTAAAAAAATTAAAGTTTAGCTATTCATTGCACTACATTAATTCCTACCACACAGATAAACTGTTAAATATACTATAACAAGTGTGAAACACAATAATAACATTAGTGTACATTTTGGATTCTTGATAACACATGACTGAATAGCTACTAATTACCAGAAAGAAAAATAACTCATGCCACCAACCTATGTTCTGTTGTTGCACTTCGGGAGAAAGCAACAATGAGCTGAGCCAGTGGATCTGGTTTATCCTCTTCCTCCACCTGTCCACGTTTCTCTTCTGCCTCTTCAAAAGATTGCTGTCAATTTATTGATTACTGGTTATTTCAGTTTAAGAAACTGACTAAAAACAGAAATATTAACGGCGATACATGCATACAAAGAAAGCATAATGATTTATTTTAGGGCTAAAGCAATCCTATGTTATACTGATAGAAAATATCAAAAACAAAGAAGTCTTCAGCTGATCATCTGTAATGAAATTAATGGTAAAAAATCTGATAAATATATTCTCCACTTGCACCTTAGTACAACCACCCCTTTAAAAAGCATTATACATTTTAAGTAAGTTTTCAGACAACAAGGTAAAAAAAAAAAGTATCACACCTACAAGACAGACAACTATAAACTACAATTTTGGAAGGGTAAAATGTACCGTACCCTAAAAAGAAAGGTATCTACAGCAGTGGGACACAAACAATGGTGTGTACACACAATCTGTCTGTCTTTATGTATACATAAATACTATAAAAGTGTTTTAGAGAAGATCTTTAAGAAGACACTGTGTTAAAAAGATTCTGTAGGTATAAAATATTCCGATTTTTTAATCTTTATGTTATTCACAAAGATCTATTTCATCCTTGCTGGATATTCCAGATATCAAAGGTTTGTTTTTCTACTGATATCTAATGCCACAACTGAGGTCTTGTGATTATGACCAATGAATGAATGAATACAGGAAAAAAACACTTCAAAGAAGAGTTATTCATGCTCAACAAATGCTGATGTTTTTCTGGCCAAAGAAAATTATATATCTACAATAGGCTTCTAACACCTCATTCTTTCACAAAGCCTATTAGTGCACTGGTAAAAACCAAAACAAGTTATAACATACTAATAAGAAAGTGGCCAAAATCCATTTTAAACTGTTAGTGGTTCATTCATACCACTTGTTTTGTGGTAAACATGAATTTGCAGTATGGATTTATAATGTTTTGTTCCTTCAACTTAGAGTTAACTACCAATAATTCATAACTAAATGTAAAGATTTCCAGGGTATTACTTGTCATTCAAAAATAATATTAGTCCTCTTGATGGAACTTGTGTACACAAACAAGCAGTACTGACAATTATTATAGAGAAGTCTTTGATAAAGAAACCAGTAACGTATGTATTTAGGTAAGACATGAGGTAAGCCTGTTGTAGTCTAAGTTGTTAAAAAATGCCTTACTATTAAATGTTAGTGGATTAATCCTTTAACTCAGTTGATAAAGCACTCATCTAGTATACAAGAGATTTCAGGTTTGGATTTGAGCCAAGGAAATAGTAAATTTGAAATTACTACAAGCCCACTTGATGATTTCAACTAAACTGTAATGTCACTTTCTTATTGTATGTGTGTCCATTATTTGATTTTGTTATATTTAATATAGAACTGATTCAACATCTTAGAAGTAAAAACTTTAAATATGTTTTTGTGACTGTCTCCTAGTAATCTCTTAATTAAAAACTGCTGAAAATATATATATTAAACTATTTATCCACACTTTTTTTAAGTTAACTGGAATGAGCCTTTGATGCGAGAGGTTTCAGGTTTGAATCTGAGCTAAGGAAATGATAAATTTGAAATTATCACAAGTCCAATTGATGATTTCAGCTGAGCTGCAATGTCACTTTTTATGGTTTATGTGTGACTTACTTGATTTTGTTACATTTACTGAAGAACTGATCGAGTCAACATCATAGAAGTAAAAACCTTAAATATGTTTTTGTGACTGTCTCTTAGTAAGCTCTTAATGAAAAACTGCTGAAAATATATATATATATTTAACTATTTATCCACACCTTTTTTAAGTTAACTGAAATATGCTACTGATGTCCACTACTTTATGTTAACTAAAAATTAAGGATTTTTTTCCCTACATTTTTAACTGTACTTGCTTTAAATTTAACCATGTATTAGAGTAATGGCAAACTAAGAAGCCACAAAGAAAGAAGATGCTTCTCATAGCAAATAATTATTCATAGTGTTACGACAGCGGAAGTCATGTGACACTGGTAACACGTCATGAGATTCTTGAAGAATCTTGACTTTTACTGGCAACTCTAGTCTGTTTTAGGTACCCTCTTTTTTGTATATAAGCCCGGCAAATAAAGCGAAGATAAAAAATTGCAGATAGATGGAGCTATAGAGACAGATAATTGAGTCAAGCGAGTGGTAGTGACAGTAATATAAAGTGTGTGTTTTGTATCGAGATTGCAAACGTATTGACTGTGGAAATTCTGTGTATTGCAAAGTTGTATCGAGAAAGAATAAACTAGTTTTAATTAGGAAAGGACTTGTATCGCTGAAGTTTCTCTGAAAGAATTTTTACAGGAAATTAACAAACAAACAGATACACAATAATAGGTTATATAAACAATCATACAAGTATTTAAACTGAAATTAAAATAAATTATATGTATATAAGTAGTCCAATATGAGTACATAACAAGATACAAAATATAAGGCCTACTTTGGTACTATCATATACTTGTTCTATTTCATAATTTGTTCATAAATCATAGCAGCGATGTTTAAGCTACTTACACATTTACAAATGATTCCTTCAATTCAATTAATGTAATCTGAAAAAAGTACTCCTTTTTATACAACATTTGTAAAAAATACTGATAAAAGATTTACTATGATTAATTTACCGAAATATTCCAATCCATTATCATATAAATGCAAAAGTTTGACATTTTACTTAATAAATGCCATATGTTATCATAATGAGTTGTAAATGTTAGATTACTACTCAAGTGATTGTAGTAATCAGTCCAAACCCTACAAAAACTACTTACAGTGAGATCTTCAACAAGCTGCTCGTGTCCTTTGTTCTCCTCTTCCAGCCAGATCTCCCGATACATTCTCAGGAAGATGTTGATGGCTCGATGCCTTCAGGAAAAGCAAAACATATTTCATTTTAAATCACAGAACTGAAGGAAAATACATCATTTACTCTTGCAGAAAGCTAAACAATACAAATATTGCTTTTAAGAGCAACTTCATTTACACTCAGTTCAAAAAGAAATAGAAAATTTCTGTTAGATATTAACTTTATATCAGTTCTAAAAATTCTGGAGAAGTGCAATAAAATGAAAACAGTTAACTAATATAACTTAGGATAATTTTTGAAGCACTCTCAATACTTAGTTACTTATATTAAGTATCTTTATTCAGTTAGGGATGTAGTTTTATCTAGATTTGGTATATTCAGAATACTTTGTTACTTAGAATAAGGATTTGTATCTGTTTTAGATCATTAAAAAATTTATTCATTTAACAATCTGTACTATCTGTATCTAGTTTAAAAACAATGAATACTTAGTCACTTACATTAAATATCTATACCTAGTTTTGAAGCACTCTGAATATTTAATCACTTAGGTTAAGTATCTGTAACTAATTCTGAAACACTCAATACTTAGTCACTTACATTAAATATCTATACCTAGTTTAAAAACACTGAATACTTAGTCACTTACATTAAATATCTATACCTAGTTTAAAAACAATGAATACTTAGTCACTTACATTAAATATCTATACCTAGTTTAAAAACAATGAATACTTAGTCACTTACATTAA